GAGAAATTTGAATTCGTTGCAGTAACACGGTTCATAAAGACGGAAATAGATGTGATAAGATGGAAGCATTGAAATCATCGTTTTTATTTTATTTTATATTTATTTATTTATATTATTTATGTTTTATTCCATATTCCATATTACATAATATTTTTTTGATTAACCAGTTATTTCGCTTCTCACATTTTTTTCGCTATTTTGTCGGCATAAAGTTTTAAATTATAAAGAGATGAAAAAGTTGGCTGCTGTTGATAATGCTCTTTCAGTGAAGGCAATAATGGTGGAAGATTGTTTCTGAATGAAATTAAGAGGAATGCAAATCTATCCATCAAAAAAAAAAATTTGTCAATAAGATTTTGTCACCGAATTTGTTTATATTCATCGGATTATTTTAGGGAGAATTAATTAAGATTTGCAGAATTTATTAGCAATACAGCATGGAGAAGATTCATTAGTAATATTATTACTATTATTAATGTTAGATTTTGCTGTAATCATTATTATTGTCTCATTAATTAATTACTGATTAATTACTGATGAAATCATCGTTTTTATTTTATTTTATATTTATTTATTTATATTATTTATGTTTTATTCCATATTCCATATTACATAATATTTTTTTGATTAACCAGTTATTTCGCTTTCCTCGTATGCTTGAAAATTTTTTGAAAATTTTCGCAAAAAATGAAGGGTGTTTTACTTTTCGAATGATAATTCGCTTTAATAATTGATTCCATCGAAGGAATTTCAGTAAATGATAAAACAAATGAAATTGAAATGAAATGGAGAAAAACAAAATGAATCCATGAAAATGGTTTATATGATTATAAACGGTTGTTTTTCATTTTAAGCAAATTTCAATTAATCAATTAATTAATTTTTTACTAAAATTTATGCAAAAATTTATGTAAAAATTTTTAATTTTATGCAAAAATTCATTGATTCATTGCGTAGCAGTTTTAAAAAAAACATGGAGAGAAATTTGAATTCGTTGCAGTAACACGGTTCATAAAGACGGAAATAGATGTGATAAGATGGAAGCATATGTAGAATGTTCGCTCGAAAAACGTGTACGACTTGTTGCTTAACTGCGGCAATAATTAAGTACCATTATTGGCATCATAATGAATGCAAAATGAATAAACGAGAATAGTATTTAGGAGGTGAAAAGAAAACGATTTCCTGAAAAACGATTTTAATATTTCCTGCTGAAAAAAATCTACATACTCATTATTCGATAAAGCAAAATCCATAAAAATGGTTCATTACCATCGGTAGCAATTCAAATGACCAATAGAAAGAAAGTTTAACGTAGAATCTAAAATCTATAAAAAAGATTTTAAGAACAAAATATAAAGACATAAGGCATTGCAGCGATTTACACAGCAATTTAGATGGTAGAAAAAGAAATGTTTGTAAATTTTCGCAATCCTTGCCTTGTTTTTTACTTAAACGTTTCTCATACAGGTTATGGCTTATGGCTTATGGCTTAAATCATCATTATTACATCTGTATAATGCGAAATGGAATGTTGCTCTAATTTTCAGTTATTTCGAACATTTGACTTCGATCCATCAAAAGGAACCTATCATTAATTCAATTCTCTTTTTATTTTATTCACTTATGGTCAATAAACCATTAAGGCCAATTTATAGAAGTTGTGTACTTCTCACGAAAATTATTCTTCTTTACTTAGTGTTGACCCATCTAGGGACCCATCAAGAAGTTGGGTCTTAGTATTTCAATATTTTATATTTTTATTTTTTAATATCCTTTGTATTGCTCATTCATTTCTTATTTGTTTTGGTCTTTAGATTCAATTTGTATCGAATATTATTTTTTCTTATCAGCATATTATTAAGATTTAGTTAAACAAGTTTGAAGTGTGAAGTGAAGAATAAGATTATTAATACTTGCGATGATCAGTCGCTACCACTATCCTAATAAAGTAGCCAAGATTTTCTAAAATGACTTATTTGCATGGGAATTGCTTAGTGTTGTGAAATGGCAAATGGAATTTCGCAATATATTCCAAATGCGATTTCAGAACTATGAATGCCTCAGGCCTAAAACCATTCAACTTCTGACGCCTGATTCACTTTTACATTAAGCTCTTGAGGCATGGTTTACCTTTTTCATTGTCTTTATGAATTGTTGTACCTTACAAAAATTTTTCTCACTCTTTTTCTATTAATTTTACTTAATCCTTCAGGAGTTCGATGATAGACATTCCAGATTTTGTGCCGATCCAGCCTCCTTCAAAGTTTCACTCTTTTCACCACACTTCCTCGCTATTTTGTCGTGTGCGCTATTTTGTCGGTGTAAATTGTAAAGTCATTCACAGTTGTCATTTCGCCTCATTGCTATTGAATTCAATTTCACTACAATCCATTCCTAAAACTGTATTTGATTAAGCGATTTTATTACCTATTAAATTGGCAAAAGTATAAATTTCTAAGGACTGTTCTGTTTATTTTTTTACTAAGTTTCAATGCAATTTTGAGGCCTGATTTACCAAATCAATAAAGTTTTGATTGATTTATTACCATTTTTATCAATTCTTGAAACCTGATTTTCAAAATTTTCAAAATTTTTCAAAATTTAATATTAATCCCACTTCTCACATTTTTTTCGCTATTTTGTCGGCATAAAGTTTTATATTATAAAAGTCGGCTGCTACCAGTAATGTTCGTTCAGTGAAGGTAATGATGGCAAAAGAATCTTTACAAATGAAGCTAAGACGAACGATTATAGATTTATCCATTGATTCCAAAAGAATTATCTCATCATGAAGATTTACTTTACCGATTTTGTTCTGTCTTCAGCGGTATATTTTGGGGAGAATTTATAGTAATAGTAATATAAGATGGAGAATATTTCGAAAGAAAATTTCTTATTTAAAGACAGACTGTGTTCCTTCAGAGAACAATGAAAAATCCACAAATAAATTCAAAGCAAAGACCGCAGATATCTTTAAAACTATCTTAGCCTATCGTTCTCGTGGAGTTGGAAGGCAGATTTGCAAGTTATGAACCAGCTCACGAATTCCAAGATTAAAATTAAAGGAATGAAGAATAATTTACGCCCTTAACAGCGCTGTATTCGCATTTATGCTCGAATTTTAATACTACCAGAGCAAATGGATTGAGGCTATGTAAAAGAAATTATCCCGCAAGACTTTGCTCCCTTCTAGTTTTAAACTGAAAGTCGGTGGTCACATTCGCAGCACCCATGTGCAGTTCAACAAACTATCGCGCAAGGGTATATTTTTTTAGTTCTTGCCAATATACGTTAACTCTTTGCTTTGTTTTTTCACTCTTATGGATCACCATATCAGCGCTCTAACGTGTCGTTGATTGGGGCTTCGATTGAACATTGCAAGTTTCATCTTGCAATTCGCTTTAATTTGCCTATTGGAAAAGTTTATTTTACTAAAACTTCCAGAGAAAAAATTTATATTTTTTTGCTTTTTAAAAAATAACTGCTTTTTTCTCGATCAATGTGATTTTTCATGGTGATTTAGTAAAATTTTTTTTCGTCGTTTTATCCAAGGATTTTTCAGAAGCAAAGATTTTTCGAAATTCCAAAGTTTTTTTCAAAAATAAAGATTTTCGATATTCCAAAGTTTTTTCACAAGCGAAAATTTTCGAAATTTTTTGAAGAATTTTTACAATAAATTTGAAAAACATGAAAAACATGTTGAAAATATTTATTATTAATTGAAACAGCACAAATACTTCTCGAAAAAAATGTGAAGTAAAGGTGAAATTCGCCAAAGTGCCAAGTAAATGTGAGCACTCTTCGTTCTTCATTTCGCGAATTTTTTACAATATGCAATGCATATTTGTAAAAATACTTTACTTTTTTTTGCTCACAATTTTTTAAATTATTTATAAATCTATAAAAACTTTAAAAATACATAATGACAAGTTTAGAAAAAATTTAAAAAAGTTTAAGTTTAGAAAATTTTTTAAACTTAAACTTTTTAAGTTTAAAAAATTTTTTCTTGGTCCAAAGTATGACAAAGTATGTCCAAAGTATGACAAAATAGGCAACGGTTGAGAATATAAACTCTCAATTAGCAACGAAAATCATATCAAATGATCGTATGAAGTTCATAATTTTCTCAAAGGCTTTCAGAATAAGATGATGCTAAAAGGCATTCAATCGTACCGCTAATATATATTAACGTAATATTTTTTTTGTTACGAAGTTTTTTTATTTTTGCAAGTGTTTTTTAAAAAAAACTTGCATTTTTGAATAAATTTTCAAAGCCAACTTGTTTTTTTCTTTTTATGATGCCAATGAATATCAAAGTGAGTATGAATGCCAATTAACGAATAAAATTATGAAAACAATGACTAGTGAAATTAGAAAATAACAAAGTGATAACAAATAATTACTTGTTTTAAAAAAAAAAACCAAAGTAAATATGAAATTAACACGATGAAAAAAGGCTCACCTAACTGCAATAAAGGCTTTTCAAATAAATCTATTAGTACAAACCGACCCGTTATAAACCATATTTTCCAATAAGTTCTTGAACCAATTCGCTGTAAAGCTTTTTGGCTTCCTCCATTTTCAATCCTGAAGTTGAATGTCGTTAGTGCATTAGTATACAATTCGACCTAACTTCTGCCACATTCAACGAACTAATTGATATAAAAAATTTCACTCCCCTATGTGATTATTTTCGCATTTCACTTTCTCCAATTCGTCTTTCAGCCTGTGGTATTTCTCTAATTTCTCGTATTTTTATATATACCTATAGCTTTTTTTTTTAAGAGCCCTCACCATTACTGGTTAAACTCGCTTCACTGGCTTGTCGCATTGAGCGATATGCCAGGGAGTCCCTTGGCGATAGAAATACAGGTGAATCACCAGCATCACCCGGATATACCTATAGCTAACCAGAGTAAAATAGAAATCTGCGATTACTTTTGATTAACTTGAAAATTCATGCTTCCAAGGAATACAAAATTTGACCTACAATCCGTTTAAAATTTGCAACAACCTTTTTTCTTGGTCCAAGCATTCCATTTAGCGCAGCCTTTAAAATCAATTAAACCTGGCTTAACTGTTGTGTTATCACCAAAAAGCGCTTGTTTGTACAATGCGTAAAGTTCCAAGAGTTCATCATCATTAGGCTTTTTTTTTAAATTTTTGACGACCTCAACACATTTATCGAAATCCATTCTAAAATTATTTAGCTATTTTAAAAATATTTTTTTTTTTAAGTTTATTCCTATGCAAAACGGGTGACAACCTTCCCAGCGCCAAATGAATTTATTAATTTTACATAAATTCGATTAGTTAATATAATGCGAATTGTTTTAATTAAATAGACTGATAATAAGCGTTATATATTAAATAACAGTATTTCCAATAGAATGTCTAATTGAAAATAAATAATTTATCAAAAATTCTACAAATTTTTGAAATAACAGAAAAAAGAATTCATATAAATCAAAAAAAATGATAAATTCTCAATAATCAACAAAAGAATTATTTATAGAAATTTATAAAAGGAATTTTTACAAAAAATTATAAAGAATGAGCAATACTCCTCATGAGAAAGTACAATTTTATCGCTGAAATTTGATTTTAGGAAATTATGACATATAAAGAAAAAAGAAAAAAATTAAAAATTAAGCTTAAATAAAATCAAAATCAATTAAAATTAAAAAAATTAAAAATTAAAATAAGAGCATAAATTACTAATAAAAGCATATTAACAATATTCCAACAAAAATGAGATATATGCAAGTGAATGTATGAAAAAATCTTAAAATTTACTAGAAATTCCAACTATTTTTAAACAATTTGTTCAGCCAATTTTTTTCCTGTTTTAATTTTAATACTTTTCCATTAAAAATAATTGCAAGTATAAAATATTGTCTACAAAAAAAAAAAATTGTATGGTTTGGAAAATAAAAATAGGCCTTACAACATTAAAAGTAATAATGCACTAAATATTCTTCCCAAAATATTAACAAAACAATTTATTATAACAAATATTATTGTCAAAATATCTAATAGCTAATAACAAAATATTTTCAAACCGAATGGAAATTCTGTCGTTCTATCTTCCGTTTTCATAACTTCAAACTTTAAAAATTTAAACAAAATTCTAAACTTCTTCCATTTTCATGAGAAAATTAAACATGAAATTATATAATATAATCTTATGAAATTTATTACAAAAGATAGCAAGCGGGAAGAATTCTCCCTAAAATCTGAATCTGAATATTCCTTTTAATATAATGTAAAAACAAGTTATACCTCCTCTAAGACCTTTCTCAATTTTTTTAAATTTTATTTTATCGACATCTAATCCACATTATTCTTCCTCAATTCTCTCTATTTGCCTTTTTTTTGAAACCTTAAAATTTTGTTCAGAATTTTAAAAATTTCTGATTATGAAAGCTGAAAATTAAGAAATTAAGAATGAATAGATGCTTATTCTATTCTACTGTTTTTAGTCCAGCAATATCCTCATTAAAACTTCAATGCTCTTTTCTTAAATGAAATGTTCTAAAAGATTTGACGAGAGTTTCGCGGGACATAATATGAGAATAGATAGAGAATGTGGAGATGATACAAATGAGTTCGAAAGTAAAAATGGTGGAAAAAGTTGTAAAATAACATTACTAATGAATTATGGAAAAAGAAAACTGTTTTTTAAATACAAACGCAGTTTGAGCGAGTTTCACAAGAACGTGAAAAACGAGATTTTCGCAATCTGAACCATAATTTTTTTGACGTTTTTCATGCGTCCTTGCGCGAAGCAATTTTAAACGGAATTGCTTATGGATTTAAATATATAAACCCAAAAATTCCATGCCAGGATGAAAAAATAAAAATGCAAAACAATTCTTTTACAATGAAAATAGTTGAGCGTAATGAAGTATTAAGTAATAGGCACTCCTATGAATCTTGGATGACAATAGGTGTATGAGGAATACCACATAACCATAAACCTTCAAAATCACGTTCACTCCCGAAAAAAGGCAAGTTGATAAGAAGCGATAAGATTGGACCAACTGTACTATAATAAGTATCCATAAGCAAATCTAATGCGGAAGAATCTGCATTTCCTTCCTCTGTTCTGAAATATTTCCAAAATATAAAAGCGAAAAGAGAAAGAATTCGAAATAAAAATGATGAAAAATAATGGAAAGAGAAAGAAAATTTTAAAAAAGGAATTGGCAAAATTACATTTCATTTGTTGCTGTACGTAACGCCCGCGCTACTGCAAAACAAGTTGCTGCTACATCTAAGACACTTTTGGAGGATTCTATTTCAATATCATTATACAACTTTTGTTCGGAAAGCCACCATCTGCATCGTTTTTCGAGAGTGCAAATGGGCTGCGTTAGAAATAATTCTGAAATTCAACTTATTAATCATTTTAAATAGATCGTTACGACGCTTTCTTGATCAGTGTATTTTAACGGTATAAACAATGATTTCTAAAGCAAACCTCTTCGAGCGCATTTCTTTTTTGGAATGTTTTTTTGCGATATATCCTATAAATCACAAAAAATACTATTATAAATGCTATAATAAAATAATATTCTGAAAATATCAAACGTTTAATAAATACCACATGAAATAAGCATAAAAATGGAAGGTGTATAATCAAAGGTTAGTTAAATTTTAAAAAATTATTATACAATTCTCTTCGAGCGCATTTCTTTTTTGGAATGTTTTTTTGCGATATATCCTATAAATCACAAAAAAATACTATTATAAATGCTATAATAAAATAATATTCTGAAAATATCAAACGTTTAATAAATACCACATGAAATAAGCATCAAGTTAAAAATGGAAGGTGTATAATCAAAGGTTAGTTAAATTTTAAAAAATTATTATACAATTCTCTCTCTCAAAAAAAAAAAAAACAATTAAGAACCTGCTTCTTGCAATTCATCACTGAAGAATGCGCCTGACTTAAAAAATCGTATATTGGTGGAGAATGCCTTGTTTTTATGTTGAATGGGAGATCTTTCCAACGACCTTTCTTCCCCAAATCCTAAATCCTATTTAATTAAATTAGATAAGACAAAGACAATGTAAGATTTCAAAGGTTGTTCACATTTATATAAACGAAATGAAATGTAGCAAAATCTTTCTATAAATTAAAATTATATGAAGTTCAAAAAACACTTTATATATCGTAATCCAACCATGAAAAAAAAAGAAACCTTAGGAATTTCTTCACCTTCCCTGACCCAACCATACCATTTTCTACATGATTTATTAACGCACCGCCACCTAAAAAAGTAAAATTTTATTCCAAATTCATTAATTATCAAATTATCAAAATTAATTAGAATAAGTTCTCAATTAGATACTCAATTATGTTATAACTCAAATTTTATGCGTTGAAAAACATCTAAAAAATTACAAAATTTTTGATGAAAACCTGAGTAAATCGTCAAGAAAATTCTAAAAAACTTTAAAAATATTATTAATAGTATTAATAGTATTATAGAAAAATGAAAAGGCAAAAAACGACGACCATCGAAAAATTTCTTTATGAAGCGTATGAAAAGCTAAGATATGACATTAAAATGAGTGAGAGGACATTGCTTTAAAGAAAAGTAACGATGGAAAACGATCAGATCAAAGCCAATAGTTTTGCAAAAATTGCGGATATTGGAAAATGCAATGAAAGAGCTTATTATTATGAGACAAAGGCAGAAATGGGAAATTTATTTAAAATTATATAGTTAAAAAAAGAGCAAGCACTCCTAAATCTGCGATATTATAATTTCAAAATATATTATTAATGAAAATTAATATGAAAAAAAAAACTGTTATGCTAGTCAACGTGAATGCAATACCGCTAGTTAATATCGAGGATGACAGAATTATTTTATTTTTAAAATTAAATGGGAAGATGAAAAAATCAGGCGATTTATTCCAGTAATAAGCGCCAGAAATGAAGAAATTAATTTAACCTTACAAACGAGTAACACCCTCAGTTTACCTCTTACCTCTCTTTACCTCACTTTACCTCTCTTATACGATTTAAAAAGAATTTATGGAATGCTATATGCTTCGTAGAATCAAAAGAATTGTATTATAGGCATAAATCAGATTTCTGATCTTTCCAGTCCTTCTTTAACATAAAATTATTACTAAATGAAACAAAAAGTGTTTTCGCATATTTCTTCTTTTTCTTCGTCTAACAACTCTCACCAATACTGGCTACAGGCTGATTCCGCTGGCTACAAGAGTCTCCAAGCGGCCCAGCTTGACGCCATTGCTAGAAATAATAAAAGCCATTCCTTTTTGCATCGTATAAATCCATATATCGCTGGTCCCCTTATACGTTCAAAATCTTTCATGACTGTAGTCCAGATCTTGACTGGCCTTCCTCGCTTTTGACGCCAACCATCACAGGATTAAATAAATAACGAAATGCGTCAGTTCCTGTGATGAACGATGGAGAACGTGCCTTAACCAGCGAAGACGACCCTCTGTGGTAATGAACACAGATGGTGCTTGCGCGAAGGTGGATCATCAGCGATTTTGCAAGTTTCAAATTAATTGAATGATTCATTGAAATCAGACTCTACTACACTTCTACTTAATTTTTTTTGGTTTTTTGTTGATTATATCATCTGTTATACAATATTTTTTTCTGATTAGACTCATTTCGTTGGTTTGTCAGAGAATCCTCTTACAATGAGTTGACAGCACTATAGTATCATTATATCAAGAGGATAACAAGAGAATGTCGATAGATGAACCGTAGACCAATGCATATATAATTACTTCACATTCAAATGATTGTGTAAACCAGAGGTTCACATAATTAATATTAAGCATTTATGATACCTGTGCCTGCTCCCACCGCACATCTGCGGTCGAACCTGGCCATTACAAAGTATGCAATATCTTTTGCCATCTTCTCTAAGATCAGGCGTTTTTTCCACTTTACTAAAATTATAGAGATATTTAAAGATATTTAGATATTTTAAAGCTATTTTAGAAAAAGCAAAAAATAATATTCACTATGCTTGTTTCGTAACATAAATATTGAACTAGATGAAATGAAATTCAAAATAGCTTACTAGGTTTTCGGCCTTATATTGCTCCGCTGTATTCGAGACTTTTTTGCAGTGGTGTTATCCTTATCTTTAGATAAAGCTCGATGCACTGATGAATTTGCTTCATTAGGACTTGACACCAATTTATGAAGGAATATTGCAGATGGATCTAATTGAAGCACTGACTTTTTATTGACTGATCTCAAATCGTAAGACTGCTTTGAATGAAGAGCATTCTTACCAACTAAATTGCTTTCAAAAGATTCACTTGACAAAAATGAATTGCTCATATGATTCTTTCTCTAAAAAAAATTGAACGTGAAATATAAAAATATGATTGAAAAAGAAAATCAAAGGTATTTTTTTTATATTTTTTGATTTAACAAAAGCATTAAAGTTTTTTCCTCCATAAAGGCCAATAATGATATATTATTTATTATTATATGTATAAGGATTTATTATATTATTGAAGACAAAAGCCATGAAAAAAAGAAACTCAAAATGCACTGAATATATTTTGATTTTAAGACAAAGGCAGCGAAAAATCACAGTGAGGAACCAAAATATCTGATTCCATTCCTAGTTGATTATTAAAACTCTTATACTTTTATTTATACTTTTAAACCATTACTGTAGAATAATTGATTCACCAATACGATAAAGCTAAGAGGCTAAAAGGCAAATATCATTTTAAATTATAATATTTAGCGAGGTGGTAAATATTAGCCAAGGAAAAAAACAAAGTCATCTTATAGACCGTAACAGTAATAATGACTGATTCTTGAAATCGTTTTTTGACCAAATGGTGATAAATTGATATTAGTAAATAAAATATGAAATGATCTTCCAATATTTCATTAATAAAACAAACCGCTTTTAACGCATCTTCAGTGGACAAATCCTTATTTGGAAACAGAAGATTCTTATTTGAAGTTTCCGTAATATCGAACCATGAATTATTTTCATTAAAAAGATCACATTTTCCATTGTCTTCTAAACAGGCCTTATTCGTGCATCTAAAAATTGTAAAGGATCTATAGAATAAGAATACCCAATGAAAACTAAATAAAATAATCTTATCGAGTAATCTTAACTTTTTAATTTCTTAATTCATGCAGATTATTTAAATTACAAAAAAATTTTTGTACCAAAAACTTTTCTACCACTAAAAATATAGAAAAATAAGACAATTTTTCAAACAAATTAACAAGCCTGTATGAATCACTGATTATTTGACAAGTGCAACCACAAAAACGACAATCTCTCGGTTGAGGAGGCAATGGAGGTGGTATTTCGGGTGTTAAAGGTCTAAAAAAATCATCCTCCGCGGTAAAATTAAAGCATTCACCGAGAATAAAATCTGCTGTCATTGATGCATGCCTAAAATTCAGTGTCAAAATAAATAAAATAAAATTAAAAATAAATAAAATTTTATTAAAAATAAATGAAATAAGATTCAAAACGATCCCATAATTAACCTCGATCTTCCACTAGATGATCCGCTAGATGAACGACGACGTTTTCCAAAAAAAATCTTAAAATCATCTGATGTTTTTGAGACAGAAGATTTCCTAGAAGTTGCTTCGAAAATTCCATCATCATCATTGAATACATCATCAAAATATTTGGTTGCTTCATACAGCATTGGCTAAAAAACGATTTAAAGGAATCAAAAATAGGGGCTGACACAGAGATGTGTTGCCCCTGTGGTAAATGAATAAGAAAATATAGATGGGTAGCCTTACATTTCTATAATGGTCCTCTGATGAAAATTTTTCATTTTGCTAATCAATTCCAAGTAAGAAATAGTGTGTAAGTTAAAGAAGGAAGCCAAAAATATTAAGTAAATCAGATAATCTTAAGAACGATACTTCCTGACCACTATTTTTCAAAACGAAATTGGAATTAAATGTAAATATTATTTTGAAAAATTTCTTACAGTATTCGCAAATAACCAACATCAAATCCAGAAAAAAACATCAAACCCATAAGAACAACTTACATCATTTCCAACAAGTGCACTAAGTGTTGATCCACTAACTGGAATATTATCATGCCTTTTCCTTTCATTACTCGCACAACGAACGGGCGAAATAGAATAATTAGAAAGCTCGCTTCTAGTCCTTCGCCTTGAAGATGACGAAATATTACCGTTGGATTTATTTAATGTTTCTGAACATGGACTTCCAGGCATATTTGGCCTTCCCAATATATTACATTCTTTTCTATCTGAATCATTTCAAATGAAAATAAAAAAATAAAAAAAATTTCAAAAATAAATAGATAAATACAATAAAAATAGGAAATGTGAATTAAAAAAATATTAGAAACAAACCGTTCTTTGGAACGAAATGCGATAAAACCATAAAGAACAAAAGAAGTACCTTTTAAAAAATTTGCAACAAAAGTAACAGGAGAAGAACTCCTCGATGATTGACTTCGCGTACGTCTTCTATCAGACAGATGAGTAAAGCGTTTAAAATCTAATTTCGAACACGTAACACTACGAGTTCTTTCTGCAAAAAAAACATTTTTCAATAAATGACAGAAAAAATCACTAAGCCTATTCCCTATTACCTGAGTTAGGTTTTCCAAAACGAAAACTAAAAAATTACTTTTTCCTTGATTTTGATGAGAAAATTTGGATTTTTGTTCTCTCAGTTTAGTATAAGCCTCTTGAATTTGTTCTAAAGCTTCCATAAAACCCTGAAATATTGAATTTAAAGTAAAGAAAAAGAGTAAATAATGAATGATAACGACATTTCCAATGGACCTTGCAATGAAATAAAGAATTACAACTAGAGTATGCTTATATGACAATTTTGAGAACATACATATATATATATTGCAGTGAGCTAAAACTTTAAAGGTCAACGGCACTCCATTCCACAATAACAACGGAATATTTTCGAAAAATATAAAATAAATGAAGATTGACGATCTATTTACCAGCATGAATAATTTTTGGCTGATATTCGAATCTTAATTAGTTGCGACTTCGCTATTTTTCTGCTTCTACGAAATTTTAAAATCATACAAAAGAAGATATAAAAAATACCTTCTGCTTTTTCGGTGTACTAAAAAAACTGCGATATTTCAAATAATCGTAAATATCATTCTGCTTGATTATACCAGTTTCATAAGTACCAAAAAATAACACTGAATAACGTCCCTTCGGTATATTAACTAATTTATCCGACGACTTCATAATCTAAAATATTTAATAAATTTTCAGCAATTATTTTTTTTATAGTTTATATAGAATATTTCATATATTGTAAATGATTTTTAAATTTAATTTCATTAAAAATTACTAACTGTTGCTGGCCAAGTTGGATGCCCTTTCATTTTAGCCCAAACAAGATCACCCGCTTTGAACGAATTTCTCTTCATTATATCTATAGTTAAACAAAAATAAAATTAATTTTAAAATTAATTAATTTACTAAAAAAGATAATCGTAATAACTGGAGCCAAATAAGTATACAAAACTAATACCAAAGACAACTGACAATACAATTAGCTTCCTATAATCGCCATAAGTTTTCAATATTTTCCTTCATAATCGTTCAATATTGCTGTAAATCTGGTTTCATTCTCTTAAAAACTTGCTGCTTTCAGATCAATCATCATTTTCATTATGATCTTCCTTCTCTTTCCTTTTCTTCTTCCCTCTATCGCATTAAATCTTTAACTCATTTCCATCACCACTACCGATTTGCATTTTCTCAATTAATCCATTGCCAACTTCCTAATGACAATAAGAAGACATGAAAATGAAGGAAAATCGTATTTTTGGAGTATAACAAGCAAACATTAAATTCACTACAATTCTAAGGAGTTTTGACAAGGCTCGAACTTTTTCCAACACCATTACTGGTAGGGGTGAATCCGCAGGATACAAAATATTTCTAAGCCGCTCGATAATATTCTTGAGAATATGTGAAACTACTCTTTTTTCCACCGTCTTAACCACGTAAGACTGAACTATTCTGTTTAAAATATCTTCTAACCTAACAAAACCTCCTTGCTTTTAGCGTTATCCATCATAAAAGCTGGCGTTTACCGAGTTATGCGTCATATATACTATGATGCATGCGGTTTTCATGACCCAACCAACTAATTGTTCTGTATCGCTATTAACTATATAGATGATAATTAAGCGAAGATTAATATATAATATATATATATATATATATTATTAATATATAATAATACGAGTTGAACATGCTCGACATTATATGGGGAAGAACATTGTCTTATTTCTTCTTATTTAAAAATATTTTAGTTATCCAAACAGAAATTTTGGTGTTGAATGATCGTCGCACACCATGGCAGTTATATTTGAAGCTATATTCTCCCTTCTTGTAGTGAATAGCATATCCAAGCTCTGGCTAAAACTTAGCTTGCTCCACCAAAGAATAATGAATATTCTATACCTTTAGTAGGAGGGAGAGCCCAGGCATAACCAATACGGCTAGTATAAGGCAGACAAAAATCTTCCCAAACGTAACCAGTATGGCTAGTACCATAATAGTTATCACAGAGATTGCAATGCTCCAGTCTTAATGATTTGAGTTATTTTTCTGCAACCACAAACAAAGATTGCATTAAGAAAGTATACGGTTTAAATACTACGGAACATCGTTATAAAACTTAATATCAACTCCAATTCTTACGTATTTCCCTAGTACAACCATTGCACCCAACCAACCTTATCCCACCCAACCTTTACTTCTACCCTTTCTCAACCCTACTCACCTACACTTTCCATTATCACCATATTTCCCCCAAGGCGAATCCTCTTTTCATCTGATTTCGCACTAATATTTTTTTCCGCAACAAAATATTTACAAAATATAAGAGATCGTCTTAAGATAAACTAATTTAAAAATTAAACTTAAATATTTAACAACACTATAATTTAGCTATATTTTTTTTGCATATGTTGTCGAAATATAAGGTGAAACCGAACCTAAAGGAAAGATTGATGATGACTTGAGAAGAAATATCATATCGAGAATATGGATTTTAGGGATTTTTTATTTTTATTCATATTTTATTTATGCGAAAGCAATATGAAGTCGAATAAATGGTATTTTCGATACTAAATACCGTAAAAATTCAAATTCAAATTTCTAATATTGCTATTATTATTATTATTATTATTATTATTATTATTATTATTATTATTATCACTATTATTATTAACTATTATTTATTATTAATCAATTTTGGGAAAGATTTTTGAATACATTGGCAATCTAGCAATATATCGCCTTAGGCAGTAGAAAAAATTATGGCTTCTTATTAGATAAGATTTCGGATTTATTAGTTTATCAAATAACAGTTGAAAGCCTTGACCCTAGGAAACCTTGGTCTCATCTTTTAAGCTGCCCTAACCAACAATAGCAATAGTTAAAAGATAAAATAACAATTTCTTGTTTCTTGTTCCATCAAAAAACTGGCCTCTATGCACCATTTGAAATCCATGGAAATTCTGCTTGTGCACATTGAATTAAATTGCAAAAAAAATATTTTTTATCAATTTATCAATTTTATTCTTTTTATTACATTCATTCAAAATATTTATTAGGTAAAAATTTTGAAATTCTTGTATCGAGAATCGATGAAGTTTTATAGTGTCACCTTAGAGGATCCGTGGAAATGAAGAAAACATCATCGATTCGTGTAAGAAAATTTAAAAATTAGAATAAAATCGAATAAAAAATTTAAGATTTAAAATTTACGGATCCCATTTTCAATTTTTAACAAATCAAATTTGCAATTTCTCATTCTAAACAAAACGATGGAATTTTCGGTTCCATCAACTGTTTTGTGATACCATCAGAAGTTGTTATATTAGCCGTTGTTTCTTTTTCACTGTGGTGAAAGAAATTAAATACATCGAAGAATTTCCACATGCGTTTCCATAATTGCTAAAAATAATAATTTCAATTGCTAAAAAATACTTTAAATTCGGAATAAATTACATAAAATAATGAATATAAATATGTGATACGTCGATGACTCAATGGTAAAATAATTGCCACCTAGAATCGAGGCATGGGTTCCACTATTCGCCAGGTGATAGTGTCGTCTAATGGAGAAAACCAGAGAAGGGATTTGCTCAGTGGGCTATCACTTAATTTAGAGCGCCGATACTAATGTTCTACTCTCGGAATAAATCTGTCGAAAAATCTGGGTGATATTGGTGATCTGTACTTCCATTGCCAATAGACTTCCTAGTTTGTTTTGTCCAACTAGCCAGGGCAGCGAGTCTAATCCGTAATGGTGTACTCATTCCATATGCAGAAGTTCAGTAAACTCCTTTAGAAAAAAAATTATAAGTGATAGGATAAAGTGATAGAATAAGAAAGGAAAAAAAACAAGAAATTTTGGAAGATAGCTGAAAAAATCACAATAAATAATGTAATTGACTTGATATGGATTAGCACAAAACCAATCTCCATTGGTACCAATAGCGTTATTTACTAAAATATTATCCGTAAATATATTTGACTCGCAAGACATGCTCCTTCCTCTTCTTTCAAAGTATTATGGAACCACGTGTATGGATTTATATGAAATTCTTCCCCTTCTAACAGCTCTCACATTTATTAGTTAGATTGGCCCCTCTACAAGGATAAGACGTATCTTTGTTCAATCAATCTGAATCGCCGATTTAATAAAAGCCACTTGTTTTTCATCATCCATATATCGTTCATATACCATCTATACATTCAAAATCTTTCTGCATTAATCCAGGTCTTGATTGACCCTTCTCGCTTTTGACATCATCCATTACACAGTTTAGCAAGTAGCGAAATATATAACTCTAGTGGTGGATAATGAAGGACGTAACCTAATCACTGAAGGCGATGGTATATAATGGTACTGTTAATTCAGGTGAGGTATTTGAGCGAAAGTGGATGCAATCATGTGAGATTTTATAAAATCATGTAATTTTATAAAATATTGCAATCAGCCTTATATTTATTCTTCTCTCTTACCTTGAAGAAGTTGTCAGTATCTTCAAAATATTTATGGATTTCTTTTTCCTGTTCTTCAGTAAGATTGCCTTTAGAAATGCCATTCACAGTAAGATGACCGTTCTAAAAGGAAAATTAGAGAGCACCATCAACAATAAAAAAGGCAAATTATAAAGAAAATGATTAAAAAGAAAAAAAAAACTGGAAAAACTATTTTTAATTTAGTAGGAAAAAAATTGAAAACTCAAAATCAAAAACTGTTTGATAAATTAACGATGGCAAAATTCACCGCTACACTACAGTTGGTGCCGTTAGCGACAATTAAAAAATATGTGGAATGATCGAGCAATGTTAATTGGCGTGCATTATTATATGGGAAAAAACAAGTTAAAAAACATCTGAAATATTTTTTTATTATTTTTATATTTTCATTTATTTTTTATTTTATTTATATTTATAATCTTATTCATTTCATTTTCAAAGAAATATTGACGAGAGACAAAAATTAATAAAATACTTACTTGAAAATTAATTTTAAATAAAAAAATGTTCAACTTACAGGCCAACAAATATTTTCATATGTATCGTATTCATTTGCTTAAAAAAAAAGATTATTTATTTATGGTTTTATTCCATTAAAAAAAAAAAAAAAATGAAATTCATAAAAATTCATAAATTTTTATAAAATTCTTATAAAATTATATCATCGATGAGAAAATTTTTTTATAATTTAATTTAAATTGATTTAAATAATTTTATTCAAAAATTTTAATTTAAAATTTAAAAAGATTTTTTTTAAGAATTTTAATTATAGATTTTAATTTTTAATTTATTTTATTTAATTTTAATTTTTCTTTAATTTCTTTAATTTTTCTATAAATCTAAGCTATAAAGATTTCGTATATATGAAATCGTTTTTGAATAGAAATGACTATTTCAAACTATTTTTATATCGTTTGCTTTAAAAGAACCATAATTTTATTGCACATCATTCATTATTTACATTCAAAATAAGCTTATCTAAATTCTTCAACAATTGTATTTTCCATGCCATATTTTGTGAAAATCTCTCCACAATCCCTCTTAAATATTCTCTCAATAATTCGAAATGCTATTATTTTATTTATTCTATTCATATAAATTTTATCGTTTGCCCTGTCAGCAAAATTATACTCTCTATAATAATCCTTCAGATTCCACAGTATTTCGGATTATAACTTTCTTTAACAATCTTCTCCTATATAACTAATATTCTATATACCTATATAATTTTTTTATCAAATCCTGCTTTTTTGTTGATAGCTAGTTTTGCCATTTCCTATTGTTTACACCGTAGATCTTCATTCCTAATCCTTTAATCCTTTCATCCTTTATCATTCTAATCTTAAAAATTCCTCAGAATCGATTAAAACCTTAGTGAGGAAGTAAGTTCTCTAATTGCCTTCATCATCCTATCAAATTATCCCAGATTTTCCTACAAAAATCCCATACTTAATTCCATCAGATCTCTTAATTTTGATCTCCTAATATATTCCTAAAATTCCTTCGCCAAATTCTTATAGTCCATTTATAGCCCATCAATAATCCTTCTTAAAAAACTTTCCTTTCTTCTGAAATCTTAGTTTCCATAAGTTTCCCATAAGTCATTTGGAACGTATAAAATACTGTAAATAAAATATAGCACTGCTCAGCTAAATAAACTTTTTTGTTTAAGGTTTTTTAAGCCAAATCGATAATTACAATTTTTATTATACATAAATTGTTGGGTTTTAATTCTTATTTTAGTAAAAGTAAAAAAAAAAATTGTTTTTTAAAAAATTCGAATAATTTTCGAAATTCAATGGGTATTTCTATCGTTAAATTGTTTCGCTAATAAAAATTCAATTAAAATAATAATTTTGAAGAAAAAATCAAAAAATATTAAAAATTTTAAATTATAATGTAAATTTTTTAATTTAAGAATTTTAATATAAAAACTATATTTCTGGCAAATTTTGAAATGAAAAACGTTGTTATGAGCGAAAATTTGTTTGAAATGGTGACTAATATCAAATATTTTATCGATTCATTTTATGTAAATAATATAAAAGTGGCAAACTGCGGTGAAAATGAGAACCAGAAAAGTAATCGAATAGAATTACATTATAAAATATAAGCGAACCAAAAGGGCAAAGTATTAAAATAAAATATGTAAAAATAAACGAAAAAAAATTATTTTTGTTTGAAAAAAAAAAATTTTTTTTTTTTTAAAGAAAGAAAATTTATAAATAAATTTATGAATGATTCATGAAAAAATGATAATTTTAAAATTTAACTTAAATCTAATTGTTGCACTTATCATTTCTATTTTTTTTTTCAATTCGCTATCAAAAAATTTACCATAAACTAAAATTATCAGTGGATTTATCGACGAAATTCTTTGTCGAACATTAAAAATCATGGAATAAAATAGTTTTTTTTTTTTTTATTTTATCTTATTTATAAAAAAATAAATAAGCAAACCAAATAATATTATATTCGAAAAAAAAATTTAATTAAAAAATAAATATAAAAGAGAAAATTTAATACTAAAAAATTTAGAGAGGAAATAATTGAATGAAATTTTCTGGTATCATTAAAATAGCTAATTGTTACCTAAATCGTATAAAGAACCATGCAAAAATTATTTTCTCATTTTCTCAAACGTTGCTGAAGAAAATTTTTGAGAA